AAAAAAAAAAAAAAAAAAAAACTGACTGAAGGAATGTGGAAAGGAATAAAAGATTGTTGTTAAACTGTTTGTACAATAGTTTGCTTTACTGACCTCAAAAACACTAAAAATAGACTGGGCATGGTGGCCATGTCTGTATTCCCAGCACTTTGGGAAAATGGCTTGAGCCCAGGAGTTCTAGACCAACCTGGGCAACATAGGGAGAGTCATCTCTGCAAAATAGTTTTAAAAATTAGCCAGGCATGGTGGCAGGCCCCTGTAGTCCAAGCTACTTGCAAGGCTGAGGAGGAAGAATGGCTTGGACTCAGGAGGTCAAGGCTGCAGTAAGCCACGATCTCAGGGCAGTAAGCGCTGCACTCTATAGCCTGGGCAACAGAGTGGAAACAATCCAAATGGCCATCAGATGATGAATGGTAAATAAAATGTGACATACTCACACAATAAAAAAGAATGGAGCACCGACACATGCTACAACATGGATAAACCTTGAAAACATTGTATTAAGTGAAATAAATGTAGACCCCGAAAATTTGAGACAAGTCTCAGTTAAATTAGGAAGTTTATTTTGCCACGGTTGAGGATGAGCGCCTGTGACACAGCCTCAGAAAGTCCTGATGACATGTGCCCAAGGAGGCTGGGGCACAGCTTGGTTTTATACATTTCAGGGAGACATGAGACATCAAGCAATATATGTAAGAAGTGCATTGGTTTTCTCTGGAAAGGCAGGACACTGCAGGCAAAGACTGGAAGACTCAAGCCGGGAGGGGGCGTCCAGGTTGCAGATAGGTGAGAGACAAAGGTTGCATTCTTTTGAGTTTTTATTAGCCTTTCCAAAGGAAGGCAATCAGATACGCACTTATCTCAGTGAACACAGGGATAACTTTGAATAGAATGGGAGGCAGATTTGCCCTAAGCAGTTCCCAGCTTGAATTTTCCCTTTAGCTTAGAAATTTGGGGGGCCCAAGGTATTATCCTTTCACAGAAGCTAGACACAAAAGACTATATATTGTATGATTTCATTTATAGTAAATGTCTAGAATAGGCAAAACAGAAAGTAGATTAATGGTTGCCGAGGGGTAGAGGAGGGGAAATGGTAATAAGAGACTAATGGGGTGATTTAAATGTTCTGGAATTAGATGGTGGTAATGGTTGCATGCACAACTCTGAATATACTAAAAACCATTGAATTGTATGCTTTAATTGTATGGCATATGAATTCTATTGCAATAAAGCCATTTCAAAAATACTTAGAACAGTGCTCAGTATATATTACACAATCTATTATCTGTTGTAAAATGTAACAGGCATCCATCCACCCTTATCTTTCCCCAATTATCTGAGTCTGAACCCAGAATATGGGCTCCTGATTTAGCTACAGGTATATTTGCAGGTTGTGCAATTGGACCATTACAAGGTGATTCATTGTAACATTGTTTTTAATAGAAAAAGTTTGGAAACAACTTAAAAGTCCATGAATGAGGGAAGTGCTTGAATAAATTATGGTACATTCATTCACAAGGATATTAAGTAGTCATTAAACACAGAAGAATGAGGAAGGTTTAATAAATGTCTTCAGAAGGTTCTTTCTGATTGTGCCACACCATCCCTTGAAGGATCTTTGTAAACATGTCTGACTCATTTGTTGCCTGCATAACACAGTGTGGCTAACTGAAAAATGGTCCCCAAAAGATATCTTTGAAGGACCCTCAGTGTGCCACTCTGTGGATATTTGTAGGGGCAGCCAGGCCTCCCCTCTACTTCCAGTGGGTATTCTTGCCTTTTTTTCAGTCTTCCACATGAAGTAAATAAGTGAAATAGAAGCCCTAGCTGAACCAATCAGGACAGTGCCTCTTGGTTCTATTTTGGCATCACAGACCCTTTTGAGAGTATGACTGTCATGCAGCCTGTCTCCACCTGCCCCTGTGCAGAAAAGCGGCCCACACTACCAGGGGTGTTATATATGCCAGGACTTCCACCATGACTATGGACCCTTGGTTGAAAACCCCGGGTTTAGAGAAAAACATTCAGATACATACCACCAGCCTTATATCTCTCCAAGCCCTTAGATTGCTTTGTGTTGGTCAGGCTGGTCTCAAACTCTCAAGTGTTATTTCTTAAGGAATACATTTCATAGGGCTATAGCTGCCATAGACAGTGACTCCTCTCATGGATCTCAGCAAAGTCAATTGAAAACTTTCTGGAAAGGATTTACAATTCCAGATGCCAACTGGTGGAGCACTTGAGGTCAGGAGTTCAAGACCAGCCTGGTCAACATGGTGAAACCTGGTCTCTACTAAAAATACAAAAATTAGCTGGGCTTGGTGGCACATGCCTGTAACCCCAGATACTCAGGAGGCTGAGACAGGAGAATTGCTTGAACCCAGGAGGCGGTGGTTGCAGTGAGCTGAGATCGTGCCATTGCATTGCAGCTTGGGCAACAGAGGCTCTGTCTCAAAAAATAAATAAATAAAATAAAAAATATAAATAAAAGAACTTGACATCTCTCTTGCTCCTGCTCTTGTCACATGACACATCAGCTCCCCTTTCCTTCTGCCATAAGTAAAAACTTCCTGAGGTCTAACCAGAAGCAAATACTGGCACCATGTTTCTTGTACAATCTGCAGAACCATGAGCCAAAATAAACCTCTTGTCTGTAAATTATCCAGTCTCAGGTGTTCCTTTATAGCAATGCAAATAGACTAACACAGAGACCATTAATTTGGAAATTGTGTCAATGTAGACACCAGTTTGTAGGGGTTTGGGTTGTACTGATGTGGTTACTATCTTCAGTATACTACAGGCTTCACATTCTTCCAGTGGTTGACTGCTATTACCTTATACCTGTAGTGCACCTGGAGTACAGGACTTTTCTGAGTTCCACCTCAATTTTCAGGGATCCCTGTATGCCTACACCACAGAGAGAATCTATATTTACACTTTTGCTGAGTCCTCATCAACAGACTGGCATTCCTCGTTACTTAGTATTAGGCTCACAGCAAAGACAGTTTTTTGTCCTTGGCTAGCCTCAGTCTTAGGCAGGCTTTGTGTGACTGGCCCTCAGGGATGTGGCTTTCTCAACATTCCTGCACCATTTCCCAATAGTAGTCGAAATCTGTTTCAAATCTATTGTTAGTCTTGTGCAACAATTTCATGCCCATTCCCCATTAAGAGTAGACCTCTTTTTGTTATCCATGTGGCATCCTGGGTCCAGATTTTCTGCCCCTCTCCAAGGTCAATTTTTGCTTCTACTCCTCTAGCAGTAACATTGTTTTCCTGTGTCCTGAAGGCAGACTATTTCCTACCTCTCTCCCAAAAGCAGATGGATTTTGTCTACATTTCTACCCCAAATCAATGAATTTCTGCCTGGGCCCTGGGAATGATATGGATTGTTGCTCCTCCCCATAGCAGCCTAAGGCTATTGCATTATTCAAGAGAAGAGCTTGAAAGTAGGCAGCCTTTCGTGGCAGCCAACTACCTTCTGTTTGCTTAAACCACCTACTGAGACTTTCTGGTTCCCTGCCCTGCTTCAAGTTTTTCTTGAGTCCTGGTGTAGGCCCCTGGGAAAGAACTTGTGAATGTGTATGAAGTTCCCTTATTTGAGATTCTTGGCTATTCCAAACTGGTATGCTAGCCCACGTGAAGACTTTAAGAATATGTTAAAATTATTGCTAATGTTTTCTTACCTGCTTATATAAGGGCCATCTCTTTCTCTTGGGTTCTTCCCAAGGCTAAAGAGTCTGGATGGCCCACCTGTCCTTGTAGGGCTTATCACTCTTTGGGATTTGGTTTATTTGCCTTGTAATTTCAGTTCTTTGATATGCTTAAGAAAAGCTTTAATTTTATAGATGACCCAGACTTTTCTTCTTGTTAAAATGGGAATGACAGACTCTTGAGGTTTTCCACATCTTCTTCAGAAGCAGAACTCTGGCTACCTCTACTAAAGTTAGTTGATTTTCTGTTACTCTCTTAAGTCGATATCATTTCCATCACTGCACATGTTAAAATTAGTACTTTTTTACTCTGTTGCCTCCATTAGACTTTAAACCCACAAAAACATATACTACATCACTTCACTGTTGTAATCCATTATACCTAGCATCATATTGTACACATAGTACTCAAAACTAATACATATGACAGGTATTCATATTTTCAAAAACCAAAAACATGGACCCA